TTAATTTAGTATTTATTCTTTTACTTCTTTTTTCATATGTGTATGTATTTATCTGTATTTACTTATTTATTTATAATTATCTATATATTTTTTTATACATGTATTTATCTTAGCATTTATTTTGTTATTCATTTTTATATTTATTGATACTTAAGTCATTTTTTGTTTCTCCATAATTACCTTGATTTTGGCTGACCGCAGGCTAAACACTTCTTGGTCATCTTCTTCTTTTTCTGTTGTTGTTGTTGTTGTTCCGGGATCTCGATCACAATCGTCTCCACTGCGGCCCGGCTCAGTGACTCCTCCTGGGGTGGAGCCACAGGTGGAGTCAGGGCTGTGACGGACGTGGTGCAGGATGACAGCAGGATCCTGCAGGTGTGATGCGACCTCGGTGGACGGGCGGGGCAGTCCGGCAGGTCGTGTGGACAAACGGACGCTCCACACCAGCCGTCAGCTTCAGAGTATCCACCGAATGGAGGCGGAGCCTGTGTGAGGACCGCTGCCTCCCTGACGTTCTGTACACTCTGCAGGTCTCTGTGGTGTGTCTGTGTCACTCTGCAGTTACACCTCCAAAACCTCCAAAACACTAGTCGGCAGCGGAGGTTTCTGTGAAGTGCTGTAAAGTTTAGTTGATTCAAAACACACATTAAACATGGCTTAAAGGAGCTATATGTAAGAAATCTAAAGCAAATAGTCGTAAAATCCTCCTAATATGTCACAGAGACTAAGGAATAATGTTCATATAACATACTGATCTCACCGACAACAATACTACAGCCAGAATATTCACATTTAAAAAAAAAAAAATTACGGTCCGCAAATCATGTTTATGTTTTGAATTTGTGTTTTGGCCTATTGCGCCACCCACCGCCGTCTACCAGTCACGCAGTCAGTAGAGTCTCAGCATCAGTCACAGTTACGACTGAGCTACAGCAGCACGGCAAGCAGCATTAGCAGTGTCCCAGTACATAGCATTAGCAGTCTTCTCAGCTGTATCCCGGCAGCAGCGTTAGCAGCAGAGAAGCCGGACTTGCTCGAACGGTCCGCTGGAAAACAGAAGATCAAGGAATTTGAATTTGAGTGCAGTAACTGCTTTGGCCACATTCTTACATACAGCACCTTTAATAGAGACAATTTCAAACACAAGTACACAAATCAGCTTCACTATAACTCTAAGCATTCACGGACAAACACTTGTCTTTATCTGGACACATTTTCCCCACAAATACAACATGCTAACGTTATTAGCATAAGCCTATGGCATTTTACATTGCATAAATTAACCTAGCGGATAGTGATCTTTACATCTTCTCATATAAAACACACAATTTGGCTCCATTACAACTCACAACATTCACAGACAAAACAACTGTCTTATACTAAACACATTTTCCAAACAAATACAAAATGCTAACGTTATTAGCACAAGCCTATGGCATTTTACATTGTATAAATTAGCCTAGAGATTAGTGGAAATTTCCTCTGCTTGTATGAAGCCAGGATAAATCACACACAAGACTTAAAATGCTATTTTTGTGGACGCTTTATTGTCTTCACAATTTATTGTTTCTTATCTGTGAAATTAAAGTAAATAAAAGCTTTGTTTCCCCTGAGGGAAATGGTGTCAGTATATAGCGACAGACAGGAGGTCTGCGTCACCGCAACGCATAGTTACAATTCTGGGGAGGTGCATGTTAGGCTACGGCATAGGCTATGGCACAGGTTACGGCGTAGGCTCTACATGGACGCGGAGCCTACGCCGCAACCTACGGCATCGATTCAACGCAGAACTCTAAAATGCGTTTCAGAGTTCACATGCCCTGTAAAGAGCGGAGACGAGGGGCACGTTGGTTTGTTATTTTATTTATTCACAGAACAGGGTTTTCCAGTTTTGTATGTAAGTTGATTTAAATAACTCATTCACGATTTTAAGAACCATAATCTGGAGCTTCCATTTGCTAAATGCCAACTAATTTATCTAAATGTGTTTTATTTCTAATCTCATGTCACGTTTAATTTACATGTTTCAATGGCATCTATGTCTTGTGAACAGAGCACAATATGAAATTTAACACTTCTAACAATGTCAAGCAAAATTTATGTGCAGTGTCTTATTTACACGAGCACTACGAGCAGTCAGAGGCAGGTGCAGATTCTGTTCGTACCTACGAAGAGATCGAAGCTACTAACACACGTTGATGAATGCAAGAATACACTTAAATTTCCTTCTGCAAACCATTTACACACAAATTTGTTTTGCTCACGTTTCATGACCCAGTGTCCCTAACTAGAGTCAGTGTTTGGTTTGTCTGTTCAGGGCTACTGTAGAGACATGGTGATCTCTGTAGACAAGTACCTGCTCCCTATGTAGATATACACGTTGATGATGGTGATGATGGTTACTTTCAGGTGATTATACACTAAATAAAACAGACTTTATATCATATTCCATTTCTGCCAATATTACCATAAATCCATCCCAGTATGTTCGGTGTGATCAGAGCGTGACAACGTTAGGACACGTTATTAGGACCACATATTACCAGAGGGAATTATTTTCACTGTATATTTTGACTGCAGAGATTTTAACATGTCAGACTTCAACAGATTTTTTCCAGGTCGAAGACTAGAAACCTGACTGCTGCTATAAGAAGACGACATACTTTGTGTCACCATGTTAGGTGTGTGCTCTTCTATCCTGAGCTGAGGGGTGATGGTGAGCAGCTGAGGAGGGACCGGCAGTGGAGCCTTCACTGTGGGATTAAAAGACAAACAGTTTGAATTTCATTCAGGAGGATTTAAAAATTTAAAGCGAGAAGAAAACAAATGTAATAACCTTTCACAGAAGCAACAATCACGTTGACATCGGGGGTGTCGGGTTGTCTGGTCTGGAAACAGCAGCCGGTGGCTTCGACCTGTCGGCTGGAAAAACAAGTCACGATCAGAGTTTGTTAATGTTTCACAGTCTTTAGCTGCGGTCTCTGTCATCTCTGCTGCTCCACACTGAAAACACCTACTATCACTAAACTGGAGCAAGTCAATGTTTTGAAGTGTTTGGGAACAGGCAACACACACCACCTCTCAATCAAAGGTGTGGCACATTAACCTGCAGTGTATCTAAGCTGTGTTATTAACAGGCCCCATCCTTTAAAGACACCATGCATCATGGCTGACATGTTTTCAGTCCTTTCAGTTAGTGGGAGATTAAAAGAACACGAGGCCAGAACACGGCCAAAACAACAAAACAGGTGACAAAGAACACAGGTGGAGTAAAACCTGCAGGTGGAGCTGACAGAACAGCTGACATCAGACTTTTACTTACAGCAAGATTAAAAGAAACTCGATTTATTAAACAACATCCACCTACTGAGGTCAGCGCCTCCTTCACTCAGACACACACTCCATACACGTTAAGATTCCCTGCCATCACAGAAAGATTCACACATGACAGATTTTTCAAACTGAGGCAATCAATAAAGGTGGTGATTAGGGATGGGCAAATGATCAAAATTCATTATTCGATCATCAAAAAAATGAATGAGCAATTATCGATTAATTGATAAGCGAGTATTTCAAGAGAGAGAAAACAAAAGAGTGCAGTGCAGACTGTCGCCGAAAGAGAGCGCAGCTGCCCCAGTTTTGAGCTTGAACCCCCCAGGCCAAAGAGGAAGAATGCAGCACATGTGCAGTTCACCCCTGGGTGTTTACAACTGTTGCCAGCCAGGGGTTACAGGCTACAGTTTTCAGCGAAACCTCTGTCTTTCAATGGCGTAGTGTTTTCAGAGGCCTCGAGGGAAGCTGCCAAGGCTTTGGAGAGCGATGAGAGCTTCCGTCTGTTTATGATTTTTTGCCTGGCATAGGTCTGGAGGGGGGTCTCATAGGCACGGCAGCTCGCCGGACCTGTAGCATTGTAGGTGAAACACTGCGACTATCAAGCAAAATTATTTGTGATCAATCAAAATCCTTAGCAATCAGTCATCGATAATCGAAAATTGATGCCCATCCCTAGTAGTCATTGATGATGACATTCCAGAAGACCTGAGGGGGTGTGACAAATTCTGGACCGCATTCTGAAAGGCTGCAGGTCTCAGGCGAGACCCAAGCGCGTTTCTATTGATGAGCAGATGATACTATTTACAGGAGCCTGTCCATATCGACAATATCTCCCAGTGAAGCCAAATCCAGTTGGCATGAAAAACTTTGTTTGTGCTTCAGAGGACGGCATCATGCTCGACTTTTGAGTTATATCAGGATGCAGATGCACTGATTGAGCAGGTCCAGGAACCAGGGGAACTGGGTTTGGGGGGCTTGGTCATTGATCGTCTCTCTGAAACTCTCCGTCCTGGTACAAAGATGCACTGCGACCGATTCTTCACATCCATCAAAGCTGTGAATCGAATGATGGAGAAGCAGGTGTACCTGACTGGTACAGTTATGAAGAATCGGGTTTCTGAAGCAGTACAGAAGCTACCAAGCAACAAAACAATGAAAAAGGATGGAAGAGGCCCCTCAGCACAAGTTACCACTGAAGACGGGAACAACAAAGCAGTATTGATGCTGTCTGTTGCTCATGATGCACAGCCTGAAGACACCTGCCAGCAATGGGACAAGAAACAGAAACGATATGTGACTATCAGACCACCAAGTGCTGTCCGTGAATACAGCAACAAGATGGGTGCGGATGACATCATAGACAGGATGATCAGTTACTACAGGATGAGCGTCCGTACCAAGAAGTGGACGCTTCGGATGCTCATGCACTTCACAGATGATGCTCTGGCCAACAGCTGGCTACTGTGCCGCCAAGACCACACAGTACGCGGCACACCAAGAAAGGGCATCATGCAATTTCTTGAATTTTGAATGGAAGTGGCTGAGACATTCTTGGCCCAGCATAACAATGTACAGGAAGACAGTGCAGACCTCTCAGAACAGGAAGACAACACAGACCATTTGGAGCCAGGAAAAAACGTCCCGTGAAGGAAGTGCCCCACATCTCCATCCGCAGAAGGGCTAATGTACATCTTCCAGAGGTGGTCAACCTGAAGAATCCAGCACGCTGCAGAGCGACAGGCTGTTCTGGGAAAACTCGAGTTCAATGTGTAAAATGCAAGGTGTTCTTGTGCTTGCAAACTGCACACAACTGTTACACAGTCTTTTACACAGGTTAATGCATTTCTGTTCTCACAGAAAAAAAAGAACATTCCTACAAATGTACTTATAAAAAAAAGAAAAAACAAAACATAAGCAAATTGTCAAGGTTTCTGGATATGCTGCGTGTTTCTTGTAAATTTTGTTTTTCCATATCCATGTTCAGAAGTTGAAACAGTTATATGCAACAGTGACAATGAAAAATGTTGAACTCAGTGCTCAGGCTGGAAATAAAAGAGATTTGCACTTTGTTAAACCATGGTGTCTTGATTGTGTTCTGAGGAAACTCAGGCCGAGTGTCCCCATATGTGGACATCATTTTTTTCAAAACGAGCTTCGTGTTCACAGGTTATTTATATTTATATTTATATTTATCGGTTCCTCCTCACCCCAAATAGCTAGAAGAAATCTAAAATGCAAGCCACACCAAAGCTCAGGTCCTGGGAGGTTAATACAGCAATAATTAAGTCATCTATAAATGAAATACAGAAATCAATAAATATAGAAATAAATAAATGAAAGAATAAATGAATTAATTTGTCAAATGAATATGGATCTAATTAAACAACGTATGAATAAATACTGAAATAAATAAATACGGAAATTAATGAATTAATTAATAGGAAAACTTAAAACTAATGTATAAAAAAATACAGGAATAAAAGAATAAATACATATTTAATTGATTAATTAATAACTCCAGGATTTTGTCTTCAATGTTAACTATCAAACACCAAAGGATACATTTGTAAAAATCTAATAACTCATTTATGATGGAGGGAGGATCATGCTTTTTGCACCAGTCACTCAGGGAGGCCTAAGGAAGAATATTTGAAGCTTTGAGGATCTGATAAGTAAAGAACTGTCCCTAACTTCGTTTTAGATTCAGGACTGAGTTGTCACAGTGTAGTGTTTGTACATTTACTTCAGTAAAGGATACTTCTTACACCACCTCAAATAAACTTGTCTTACATGTAGGAGATAAAATAGACATATTGTATGCTGTAATATTTATTTACTAAATTAAAATATACAATCAGCTAACGTTAACGCTGACATGATGTTACATACAACCTTTATGTACCAACATTAGCAACATTAGCTAAGGAAAAACCGAGTCAGAAGCTGTCAGAGCTAACATCACAAAACTTCAACTTTAAAACAGTTTTACAGTTTTAAAATCTCGCTTGTGGTCAAAACATATATTACAGTCTTAGTGATAAGAGCTACCGTAGAGAATGAATGGAAACAGTTAAAGAGGATAAAAGTTTACTATTTCCGTCAAGTCCCCGGTTCCAAACCGGGCGGTACCTTGTTTCTGCGCCGGTACAGACGTTTATTAAGGTTTTATTTTCACCTGAAGCTGAGCTAACTCACTTTATTAAAGTCCTAATGTTTTTAAATTATTTCAATCCAGTGTTTTACTATTTCTGTCTTGACCAGATAAAATCTTCACTTCACAAAAGACTTCGTTTTAGCTACGTATTTCTGCGCGTGCACGTCCCTAAAATGATGGGTTTCCGTAGTGTAGTGGTTATCACGTTCGCCTAACACGCGAAAGGTCCCCGGTTCGAAACCGGGCGGAAACAGTATTTTGAAACCTTAAGGTTGCGGTCTCTGCCTCGGAATATACCGTAACAACAACCAACTATATTTGACTTATACATTCACATCTAGGCTACCCTTGTGTACACGCGCACGAGCTAAAATGTGCATGAGTTTCCGTAGTGTAGTGGTTATCACGTTCGCCTCACACGCGAAAGGTCCCCGGTTCGAAACCGGGCGGAAACAGTATTTTCTGAGTCTCTTAGCTGAGTTTGGTAGGTCGAGAGAAGAGAAATATTCAGAAGATGGGACTGAATGAAGAAACAGAAGTGTAGTAATGGTTGTCAGCTCAGTGTGAAGAGACAATAAAACCTCAACAAGGGACTGTTCATTATTTAAGAGAGGGCAGGAGATGCAAAATAAGAGTGGCACGTCAAATATTTTTTTAAGTGCTAAGAAAGAGCTTAGGTTTTTATTTGGGCTAAGGGGAGGGGCATACAAATTCAACAGTTGTATTTTTATTTTAAATACCATCTGAACACTAAAACCCACCAACAGGTTTGAAAGACATCTTTTCTTTATAGGTCCCATATTGTGCTCATGTTTAGATTTATAATTGTATTCTGGGTTCCTACTAGGGACTGTTCTTTATTTGTTAGAGGAGGGGAGTGTCACAAAAAAACAAACACAAATCTGATATTAAAAAATAGTGATATTTCATCAAAGTCTCCACTCTGTCATGAGTAGGCTGCAGACCCACACCCTCAGGCCCTCCTTCTGATTTCTGGGGACTTCATCCATGCCTGTCCATCCACCACCCTGCCCACCTTCACCCAGTATGTTTCTTGCCACATCAGAGACAATAAATCACTGGATTTATTTTATGCCAACAACAAGGAGGCATACCATTCACCCCCCTGCCCCCTCTACGTCGACGCAGAGCCTACAGTGTAGGTAGAGCATCGATTCAATGAATTTAAAAAATCCAGCATTAGTGTTTAGATGGTATTTAAAACACAACATACAGCTGTTAGAATTTGTATGCTCGTCCCCTTAGCCCAAAGAAAAACCTAAGCCCTTCCCTAGTGCTTACAAAATGATTTGACACGCCACCCTTATTTTGCATCTCCTGCCCTCTCTTAGATTATGAAGTCCCTTATTGTCTCTTCACACTGAGCTAACAACCATAACTACCCTGCTGTTTCTTTATTCACAACCATCTTCTGAATATTTATTTACTCTCGACCTTCCAAACTCAGATAAGAGTTTCAGAAAATACTGTTTCTGCACAGTTTCAAACCGGGGACCTCTCGCATGTGAGGCAAATGTGATAACCACTACACTACGGAAACTCATGCACAACCTAATCCGTGCACGTGAAAACAAAGGTAGCCTTGATATGAATATGCAGGTCATTTTTTCTTGGTCGGTTTTTATCATCCAAATATTATACAAACAAGAACAAGGCCGCGATCTTACGACTTCAAAACACTACCAAGACCTTTCGCACGTGAGGCGAAGGGTATAACCACTACAACGAGGAAACTTGTGCACATGTGAGCGCGGAGGTATATTCAACATAAATGTAATTAGGTTTGAGAAGTTTTGTTCGGCTAAATTTTATCTATAACACATTTAACGAACAAACAAAAAAAGGCGAAGCAGCGACTGTATGTGGCAAGGTTAAGTTTGCTGATTTTCTTATTTTTTCCTTACATTATTCTAACATATACATTTTATATTGAAGCTTTGAGTTGGAAGTTAAGTAATGGCCTAAATGTCATGTATAAGTAAGTATGTTTCATTGAATTTGATTATTTGTTAATTCTTTCTGTCTAGAATTAGCTATTTCAGTGAGTTTTGAAACTTGGGTACTGTAGCTTTAAGAGACAGCAGCCTCACACACGGGCTTCTCGGTGGGCTGTCGAGCTTGGCAATTAGTGGACCCTAGAGTAGCTGTAGAGACACACGGTTTTCATGCCGTGTCCTGTCCTGTATAGTTTTAATTAAGAAAGGCCAATTCTGTGGATAGTTTTTTGTGACACTTGTGGAATAAAAGTGTTTCGTTTTTTCCAACTTTACATGGACGTCGAGTGGATTATTGAAAACTACAAAGGCAGGACATGTGTATGCAAAGACACACAGCTACGTCACATTTGGCCGTTACAGCGACAGTCACGCAGCAGCAGAATTTGAGTTTGAAAAACATACAAAAGCAGCTGAAAGTTTGTGTAAGATGTAAAATGTGTGTATCAAACACTCACCGGTGTCTGAAGACGGTTTGTAGTTCGGACTCTTTCCATTAAAATGGTTTATAACGGTGACTCAGTTCGACGGTGGCGTCCACAGAAAGTTCAACAAACATGGCAGCAGAATAATACACGATCCGCTTTGTCCTCTTCACCACTGCAAATGTCTTCACCAAAACACAGACCAATACACTGACCCACCAGGGTCACTCACAGTTCACCTGTACAGGTGAGAGCGCCACCTGCTGCTCGTGATGGTCAGCACAGGTGTGAGCTGGAACTGAAGTTCATAAACCAAACAAAATGTCTGAAAACATAAAACTAAACATTTTGTCGCTGTGACTCTTCTCATAAAATCTGTTACTGTTTTTTTTTGTTTTTTTTTTTACAGTTTTATACACTTTTATTCATCTTTTATTTTTCACACATGACACGCACACACACACTGTTCGACTGACATTTAACATCTTAACATCAGGGACGTGTTCAGGTACATCACTTCTGTTCTGCACTCAGTATTTCTATTTTCTTATTTTATTACTTCTATTTCACACCATCTCAGAGGGAAATATTGTACTTCTTTACTCTGCAGATTCAGATTATTAATACAAAGCAATGTCATTTATTCTCACTTATTATTCTCTCATTCTGAATGTGCATATTTATTTAACATATAATGCACATAACTGTACGTGTTTGTTTATTCTTATTCTTGTTTTTATTCTATTGATGTATATATTGCAGTGAACATTAAAGCATAATACATATTCTATATTTCTGAATGTAACATACTCATTTATAAAGTGTTTAATGTAGCATAGTGCACATATTTGTATTTTTTTTACACACCTACAGACTTAGCGCAGCAAACATATTTTTATTCTAAATATCTGTAGCATAATGCACATTTTTATTTCTACTGTATATTTACGTAGCCTACCTTTATTTCATACTCTCACTTCTCATAATCTCTGTTCTTTATAATGGAGTAACGTTACGAATCACAGTTTTCCTTCGAGGATCAATAAAGTATTCCTGATTCAGATTCTAATCGACGTAATTTGACAGTGTAATTATATTGTAATCATAAAACCAAAACGTTAAGCAAAATTTTAAATGCTGGACTTTTACTTTTTTTCCCTGAGTGATCTCTACTTTAATGCCAAAGGCTCGTCCTCGTGGGATTTAGACTGCAGACCCTGCACCGTTGTGAGCATTTACACTTACATACACATACTCTGCAGTTACACCTCTAAAACACTAGTTTGCGGCAGAGTTTCTGTGAGTTGCTGTAAAGTTTAGTTGATTCAAAACACATATTAAACACACATTAAACACTCATTAAACATGGCTTAATAGAGACAATCTCAAACACAAGTACACAAATCAGCTTCACTATAAATCGCAGAACTGACAGACAAACACTTGTCTTTATCTGGACACATTTCCCCACAAATACAACATCCTAACGTTATTAGCACAAGTCTATGGCATTTTACATTGTATAAATTAGCCTAGTGACCAGCAAACTTTCCCTCTACTCATATGAAGCCAGGAACAACAGCAACATTTAACAAAAGTAACGGTACATAATTCGGCTCCATTACAGCTCACAAGGTTCACTGACAAAACAGCTGTCTTATACTAAACAAGTTTTCCATTTTACATTGTATAAATTAGCCTAGCAGCTAGCAGAGATTTCCTCTGCTCATATTAAGCCAGGATAAATGACTTAAAATACTTTTTTTGTGGACGCTTTATTGTCTTCACAATTTATTGTTTTTTTATCTGTGAAATTAAAGTAAATAAAAGCTTTGTTTCCACTGAGGGAAATGGTTTCAGCTTACAGAAATAGACAGGAGGTCTGCGTCACTGTGACGTGTAGTTACATTTCTGGGGGGGGTACATGTCAGTCATTATACTTGTGCATCAGCTCAACTCAGCCAATAAAAGGATCTTAAAATCAATTCTGAAGCTCACAGGGAGTGTAAAAAGCTAACGTTAGGTTATAAAAGAACAACACTGGTCACATGACTCAACGTCACCACCACACAGAGGCTGTAAAGCTGTGATCGACATGATGACGGTCTGTGGTCTTATTTAGCCACTTGTTAGCAATGGTCTTTTTATAGACACATAGAAGCATCAAAACTCATGAGTTTGGTATTTACTGATGTAACTTATGTTGTAGAACAAAACATGAAAGTCTCTTCAGCTCGTGTTAACCACAGACCTTATTTCAGACGTCTAACGTGAAACACATTGGCTTCAAGATGAGGGAACAGGGAGCGGTAAAATGCTAACTCATTTTCTTTCCTTCCTTCCTTCCTTCCTTCTTTCCTTCTTTCCCATGTCTCTCTTCTTCTTTCTTTCTTTCTTTCTTTCTTTCTTTCTTTCTTTCAGTCTCACATGTTCAGGATTTTCATCTCTGCTTCATGTTTGTGTCTGAATCCTGAAACTCTGACACTATCTGAACTTCTATACTTTTAAATTAAGAACTCTATAGTTTTTGTGCTCTGCAGCTCAAGTACTTTTACACACACACACACACACACACACACACTCCAGTCCAACCTGCCATCCCTGTCCGTCTAGTTGTTTCGTCACAGCTCGGATCATTTCACAGATACACACACAGACAGACAGACAGACAGACACACACACACACACACACACACACACACACACAGAGTCCAGGCGCCCCGCCAGCAGAGGGGCCGGTCGGCCAGCAGGAAGATCCTTATTTGGGCGTCAGGACGTCCGCTGCAGTGACAGGAAACACCATATTTGGGCTGAAGCTGTGTTGTTCTTCCTGTCGAGAGCTGGCCGCTGACAAACTGATCCCATTGGCTATTTGACACACGCACACACACACACACACTGAGGATTTACTGCTTACATTAATGACAGTGTGTGTGTGTGTGTGTGTGTGTGTGTGTGTGTGTTTGCTCTTTGACTTTTCATTTGACCTAAAAACTATTTTTATTACTGTGATTGTGACTCAACGACGTGTCTCTGAAACTCGTTTTATATATAAATGTTTAAATGTGCAGCAGATTCAGTCAACAGCAGCAGTGCCACTCTACACTCCTGTTAAACTGTCAGTACATATAAACACTGTAGTTTCAACACCTCCATTTATTTATTTTTAAAATTATTTTTTATTTATTTATAAATTTTAATTAACTTCTTATTTATAATTATATTCTTTTATTTCTTTATTTTTTATTTTTATTTATTTGTATATAATTATTAATTTATTTTCTGTTTAATTATTTGTAATTGTTTATTTAGTGTCCATTTATTTTTCATTTAATTATTTGTATCTATTTACACATTTTATTTTTATTTATTAATAATATTATTATTATCTAATACTTTTTAATTATATATTATGTATTTATTATCTTATCATTTATCTTAATGTAATCATTTATCTATTATCAGTTTTATTATTTAATTATTTTGTCTGTTTTTTTAAATTATATATTTATTTCATCAAATGTTTCCTTCGATTCATTATCATTTGATTCTGATTTGATTCTGATCATTATCATTTGATTTTAATCAACAGTGTGTATTTTTATTTCTGTTGAACTTAAAGTAAAAAAAAAACAACATTAGCTCATCTCAACTCGCTGGCTCTGAAGCTTTTGACCATGTGTCACATGGTCTTCTTCTGTAAGTGGAGGTTGAAACTGTGTAGATGTTAGAATTTCCTTTTTTTCTGTTCTTTTGGCTGAAAAGTTCAGAGTGAAAGCTGATTTCTGACCTTGTGAACATCCTCTGACTCACTTGTTCTGGAGCTTTCAGCTGTGTCACACAGTCTTCATCAGCAGAAGATCAAATAATGATCAAAGTTCTCGACACTTTTACAACAAACAAACATCAGCTGATGAAACCCCTGAGACACAACTCGACACATCAGTCATCAGAGTGAAATAAAAGCATCAACAGTATTTTGACTTTTTATTCTCGGAGCTCTTTGGTTTCAAGAGGAAACACCTTCAGTATAAAATCAGACCTGCATGTGAACATACGAAGGTCCCAGAACCTACGCAGTAGGTAAACACTATGTACACAGTCATGTATGTACACTTTACTACATGTAAACATTATGTACACGCGTTATAAAAGATTCACACTCATCCATCAGCGAGCGTCTCGTTACATTCAGAGGATTTCACATCTTCTTATTTCAGGAGTTTGGTCCTGAGAGTTTTTTAACTGTCTCTGCTGAAGGTTCAAGTTCATGTCCCGCCCACTTTTATAACTCTAACAGACGCTGTCATTGACTACAGTGGCTGCAGAGGCTCATAATGACGCAGCAGCTCAGGAAGTCACAGAAACACAGTGAGGTGTTTGACTCCTCCTCCATGACCTCTGACCTCCTCACCATCAGACCAATAATAAGACGAACAGTTTGTCAGTCAGATATGTGAGTTTTTCTTTTAAAGGCAGAGTTTCAGTCTGAGGTCGAAGGTCACGGCAGGACAGGACAATTTCCTGTCCGTCAACAGTTGTTGGAGCCGTGGGGGGAGGGGAGCTCCGACTGAGGACTCCCCATCGGAGAGGAGCAAGAAGAGGAGTAAAGGTGGGGGGACGGTGAGGAGGCATAGAGATGTGACAGTGACGAGGAGGAGGTGAAGCAGGGGGAGAAGGAGGAAGAGGAGGAGGAGGAGGAGGGGAAGGAGGAGCTGTGAGCGGGGGAGGAGTAAGAGGAGCAGGGGGAGGAGGTGGGAGGGGAGGAGTAGGCGGGGGGCTTGTTGATGGGGATGGGATCAGAGGAGGCTGAGCTCCTGTCGCTCTTGCGCTCCCGCTGTCGCTGGTGGATCTTGGCGTGCCTCTTGCGCTCATCACTGCGTGCGAACTTGCGTCCGCACTCGGCGCAGGCGAACGGCTTCTCGCCAGTGTGTGTGCGGATGTGCGTCGTCAGGTGGTCGCTGCGGCTGAAGCTGCGCATGCAGATGCGGCACTGGAAAGGCTTCTGGCCCGTGTGCACACGCACGTGGCGAGTGAGCTCGTCAGAGCGGGAGAAGCGGCGGTCGCAGCCGTCGGCGGGGCAGGCATATGGACGCTCGTGTGGTGGCGTCTTGCACTGCCGACTGGCAGGGGACTTCCTGATTCGGTTGGGTTTGGTGACCAGGGATTGGTAGGT